AAATGATTTCAAGTTTGATGACTAAGATTGAGTAATTATTCAGCAGCTTTTTCAAAATAAGCTTAAGACTTAACAAAATACATAGATCATAACCGTGAAAGTAATGTAAGTATTGGCTTGGTTTTTTTCTGTTCTGCTACTGAAGAAGTTTCCTCCTTCATCCCATAGGTCAAAGGTAACTCTCTAGATGTTAACCTCATACCACTAAATTGACTTTGTTTAAATATTAGTGCAGGGACTCTCACTTCGTGTTAAACTTTGGCCTGGGAACAAAAATGTTGGTTTAGTTTGAGAAGTGTAATTTATATCAATTAATCTCAGAAAGTGTCACGTTTCCCAATCTTTTAAAGCCACATTGAAATGTTTGACCTTATCGGAGGGTGGGTGTGGAAGTAAAAAGTAAAGCAATCACAGGGCTCTGGAATTTTTTACTACTACTCGATTTCAGACTGATCAATTTACAAGGTGCCTGAAATCCCTGGGGAATCGTATTTTCTAAAAACTGACTTTTTCCTGTCTGTATTGCTTTTCCTATAGCTGTTTTCCTCTAGCAGGTTGTAACTGCTCTATCTAAAATCAATTTGATATATATAAATATCCTTGAGGAGAAAGCTCCTGCTTTGTAGAAGGTCAGGTAGCTTAATTTATACTGGGACCTGTACGAAGGGCAAGTGCTTCAGTTTGAACCAACTAGAGAGAGAACACTAGCCTGCTGGAGGGAAGAGGAGGGATTCAAGTGCCTAGGAAAACTTTTCACTATATGCAGAGCTATACTGTGAAGTGGAAGGTTGTGCAAGAGGTTAAACCCGTGTAACTAAATAAAGCAAGCTAATTATTTTAACAGATACTGTCAGACATTCTTTTATGCAAAGACAGGGCTTGGCTGCATTTTGTCTACTTTCAGCATTAACCTAGAAATGTGTGCCATTTCTGACTGCTTTTGCTTGAATCTCATTCTTCTTCTGCTCCTAATTCTTAGTTTTTAAATTGTTGCACTATGAAAACTGTTAGTATTTTGAGACCTTTAATGCTGTACATATTATTCTTTTTGAAACATTAACGTTCTTTTGCAGTGTTGTTTTTTGTTAGTGATAAGACTATAGAAAACAGTGACACCAGTATACATTTCTAAGACGACAGTAGTGCGTTTTTACCTCTTGCTTAATGGCTGCCTTATCCCAAGCATTTCCTCCTCAGTTGGCTAAAGCTCAGCATACCTTCTAGGCTACAAATTGTGAACTGCCATTATTCATAGTTGAAATTGCAGTCTGTGCAAATATGGGCTAAATTGCAATCATTACATGTGGTAAAATAGACTGAAATATCTGTAAATCTGAAGACTGTAGTTGGTTCTTTTAATCAGGGAACTTGTTAAATTCACCCATGCTTTGATTTCTCTTTCTTAGATTTTTTTTCATGTCAGGTGTGGGGTTGTTCTGTGTTCAGTATTCCTGCTTCTAATTTGGAATACTTAGTTTGATGTATAAAATGAACAAAATGATACATGTTGTCTTTAATATGTGAGTGCAAGGTAGTGATTTTTCTTTTGCTTTTTATCAAACCCTTCATAATCTTCTAGACTACCTGTATAAACTAGTCTTGAAGAACAGGCTACAGTATGATCTAAGGTTATTCTACAGAAATGTCCTATTAAAGCTCTCATTTGAAAATCACAAGCTACATGATGTAATGACTTTTAAATTCCTCTTTCCTAAACCATTCTCTGCCTTTAATCAATTGATTATTGAGGAAGTATCTGGATATAAAAAACAAGCTATTTGCATATCTCACTCTGAGTCCTACCACAAAATAAGTCAGCCTTGATGTTTCATGAACAAATAGTTGTTTGCCTGCTAAAAGCACTCGAGTGCTATCTCCAGCATCCCAGTATCCACAGGGTAGAAGATGAATTGTTTTCATAACCATTTCTCTTCCCTAGCAACTCATGCACCTCCATCATGTGCAGTGCAGTAGGAACCAGGAATGTGTGTGTTTAGGGCTCCAGTAAATACAGAGCTAGACTATTTATAATCTATCGCAACTCTGTGTTTATTCTAATTTCTCAGTCTCAGTGACACTTTCCTTTTTTTTTTCTTTATAACTGCTTTTTACCTCACTGTATTTTTCAAAAAGTAAATAGTAAATTAGTCTAGCTCACACAAATATGTGCCTGTAAATATTATCCTTTAGGTATATTCCTATAGCTTTGGTTTTCAAGAAGAATCGTTATCTAAAAGTAAAATGAATGATAAATATATAAAATGCTTACTCTTTAGGGTGTCTTAGGAGTAGTATTTCATTTAGAGTGGCAGTGATTCATGGCTTCTCTCTCTACACGTGCCTTTGGGGTGGCTTGCATTGCCCACAACGCTGTGTCATTTGTTTCCCTTTGATTTTCATGACTGACAGCTTGCTTTTGGCATTTTTCCTTTTGCTGGGCTAAAAAAAAAAGAGGAAGAAAGGAATGTGCAGATGCGGGAAGAGAGAAGCCTGGAAAGTCCTGAAACTAATAATAATAGTAATAAAAGAACAGAAAGAAGGTTTACTTTTACAAAGAAAAAAAGGCTGTGTTCTCCTTGCCAAACTGTATTCTTGTATTCAAAATATGGGGAGGGCTAGATATGTACACATACACCAAGCACTTGCAGAAATGCCTGTTAATAACTTGTAAAAGATGAGATGGGGGGTTTGTGGTTTATTTATGGGGGGTTTGGTTTGTTGGGGGCTTTTTTAACCCATGAGGAAAAATGCATCTTATGGCAGTCCTAAATGTCTGTGGAAATGGAAAAGGAACTTAAGCAGGGGAGTAATTTCTGTAGTTGGGATCTGGTAGTTTTTCATTGTGGGGTCTTGTGCATCCAGTAATAGATGCTGGCTGTGAAAGCAAGGGGACTGGTCTCCCTGCATAGGGAAGCTCTTCAGCTCCTGTATCTTGAGTTGTGCATTCGTGTGTGATTGTTACAGCCTTATAATGTAAGAAAAAAAGGAATAAAAGCTGAATTGCAAGAATATTAACTTCTCACTGGTGAGAATGTGCAAGGATGTAAACTGCTTGACTTAATGTTCCCTTCTTAATGAGGTTGCATTGCTACTACTGAAGCATCAATAAGAAAAAAAAAAAATCAAGTTATTTTTTATCTGAGTTCAGGTGCTTCTTCACAGGTAGGTTTTGGTGGTAATAGTGAGAAACTTCCAGTGTTGCCAGTGAAATTTCAGACTAAATTATTACAGTCTTAGAAAGAGGCAGCTGAGTGCTTGATACTAATCTGTCACTAAAGTTTCTCATTAGATTTTTTAATAAATGAGGACACCTTTTAAATGGTGGAACACAGGTGAAGTTTAACTTTCTTTGCTAGTGAGGGAAAAATACAGTTAATCTTTACCATTTTATACTGTCTGTTAAGGTAACAATACGCTTTGATGTTAGGCAGTGAAATGACCTCGAGCCAGCTTTTTCTCTGCTGATCAGTGGCTTTCACTTTGCTGCTTTTCACCATGATTATGCTTCTCTTGGTTTTGCTCCTTCTCAGCCTGAGATAGGCATCACAGTGCCTGTCACTAAAGCACAAGTTCTACTTGATTTTAAGCACCTTTATGTTGTATGCAAGTCATTGCTCTAACTCTGTTTCAGCGCTTGCTAATTTGACAATAATGGTAGTCTCCAGAATGGCAATTAGTGAACAAAGAAGGTTACAGTGTATGACCCAGCAATCAGGCTTTCCTTAAACTTGTTTGTCTCCACACCACACAGATATATTCAGCTACATATCAGTCTGCAGGTAGTGGAAGTGTAAATTGCTTTATGCAGGCACTACTGATAAGTCTCTATTTGGTGCCAGTTCTTAGCTTTTTTCCTTTTAAGAATTCACTGGTAACACTGGTTTAGTACAGAAATACCTGCACTCTAGGATTGCTAAAATCACAGCATATAGTACTAACTTACCTGTCTTTTCTGTGATCCTTGAATCTCTTCAGGCATGAAAGTATATGGACTTGTATGTGAAGGCCTTCTGTTCTTACATTATCCTGTTGCTTGCATTAGTATCAGTTAAAAGTTGTCTCAAAGACCGAAGGCATACTGTAAGGCAAAGTCTCTTCCTCTGTGCTTGTATGTCACATTCCCTGTTCTGCCATATAAAAAGTAAACAGATAACTGCAAAGGCTTTTAAATCAAGCTGTGAATTTCTTCACTGATTGGTATGCATGTATTCACTGAACTTTTTTCTTTACCTATTCTACTATCATTATATTAAAACTCATTAACACTACTGCTGCCACAGTGTAATGCCTTTCTAAGGTCAGATAGTCAAGCATTTGAAGAGAGGAAAGATTTGGGAGTCTTGGGATGATATTTGCTCTTTTTTGTATGAAGTGCTTTCTTATGCCTATAAACAAGGAAAGAGGCAGCAGCATCATTTATGTTAAGCAGCACTTTGCTGGAAATACTTGTTTCTTGACAAACCTGCTGTGTATGTTGATATCATAGCTCTAGTTTTAGCTCGAAGAAAAAGGTTGATCAGACTGGGAGAGAGCTAATAATATCTTCTCACAGGATAAACGTGTTTGAAAATATTAACTGTTCATACAACCTGATTCATTCTAAAACCCAAAACTCTTGTTGTGTAGCAGTGTTTGGTTTTGTGAGTCTAAGGATAATGTTCTCCTTGAGACCTTTAGCACATTGACACATTGCTGTCAAAGGGGGAAGAAGTAACCCCATCCTTACCACTGGTGCAGGCTTCAAAATGATGCAGAGTGAGCCACCTATTGCCTGCCCATCACTGTTGTTAGGTCTGTAAATTATGTGCCATTCCCTCCCAATTATGAACAGGGATATCTACTGAGCTAGGTATAGCTTGATGTTATTTTTAGAACGAATTACATTGATTGCACACTATTTCAAAGGCCCCAAGTAATAAAGTACACAATTAAATGTAAGTCTGACTAGTTTCATTTCTCTGTGTGGTTTTTGTATAAAAACTTAACTATTTGTTTTCCAGACTCTTCTGGCAGAGATTTCGGTCCTACTCTGGGATTGAAGAAGTCCAGTTCTCTTGAGAGTCTTCAGACTGCTGTGGCTGAAGTTAGGAAAAATGAACTCCCTTTTCACAGACCCAGGCCTCATGTGGTCCGTGGTAGGGGGTGTAATGAGAGTTTCCGAGCTGCCATTGACAAGTCTTATGATGGACCTGAAGATGGAGAGGAGGGTATGTTGCTAATAGCACTTATGGAAGGAGCCACCTTCAATTAGCACTGCTGAGGGCCAACTTTGTAAAGCACATGAGCAAATGATATAGTCCAATTGAAGTTGATCATATTTTAAAAGCTGTTCATGTCTTGCAATGAATAGACCTGTCTTTGCAGTACCCCATCCAACCTTGACAGGGTTTAGTGTAAAGTCTTTTACTGATCTCCTTTGGGGCGGGGGTGGGTTGGAGGATTTAGAACTCAATCCTTAAATAATTATATTTTTCAACTTCAAGGAGCAGCTGCCTTCTTCAGATTACATTAAAAATTATCTTGCTTGTTTTACAGAGCTGTCTACAATTCCCCCTTCTCCAACCAGGAAATTTGTTTCCTGTTATAGACAAGGCAGAGTGTATTGATAGCACCCTGCTGTTCATTCTGTCACCATGGGCTTACAGACCCCAGTCTGGAAATATGTCTCCTTTAACATGGAGCATAAAACTGTGCTTGGATCTTGAGCCCCCCAAATAGAAACAGCACGGATCTTCTCCAACCAGACAGAGCAGTTTATCTATTTCTTGTTCAGCCATTAAAATAGAAAGATTTTGTTACGTAGGTTGGTTGTGTCAGTTGCCAGAATCTCTTGTTGAAGTAAGCTCTCAGTGTTTGCATCCCAGAATGTCAGTTTTCTCAAGCTGATGGAGGTTAACAAGCTAGATTTCAAACAGAATAGTGTTTTACCATGTCAGGATTTTTTGTCTCAGGAATAGCAACTAGAAAACAAGTCACTAAAATAACTCTGTATTTAATTTGCAATAGAAATCTGCTTGAATTCACTAGATATGTTTAGTCTGCTTTTTAAATTATTTAATTAGATGACTAAGTGTTGTGAGTCATTTGAGCACTTTGTAGACACTCGTGTGCTCTATTCCACGTGTTTGCATTTTGGTGGCCCCTAGCCACCCTCACTGCTTCTTCTTTTTCATCCTGTGCAGATGGTTTCTCTGATAAGAGCTCTCACTCTGGTCAGGAAGCTCAAAACATGGAATCTGCCCATCCAGAGAACCCTGAAATAGAAGATACAGAATCCAAAGCAAAAAAAGACAAAAAAAATAGAGAAAAGGAGAAGAAAAAGGAAAAGGGCAAATCTAAAATCAAAGAGAAAAAAAGGAAGGAAGAAAATGAAGATCCGGAAAAGAAAAAGAAGAAAGGCTTTGGTGTCATGTTGAGGTACGGTATCGTACAAAGCAGAACAGCCACACTTTCTCATTATAATGTAGGGAACAACTGATACTCTCATAAAATATAAAAATTATTTCACTTGGACTCAAAGTAATGTTTATGTTATTTAAAAAGAAAGCAGTTTATACTTTTACACCAAACTTGTAGCTGAGGCAAAAGACATTTGGCAGACAAAATGTCTTTTTGTGCCTTTGAAATTCATTCCCATATGTCAGAAAAGATTCAAGGTTTCAGTCTAAAAACAATTGTGTGTTGGTGAGGAGGGCTTTGTGGGGAATATTTCTGAGTAATACATGATCCACTCCCACGTTCAGACCTTTGCCTTCTCTTCTCTTGCTTATTTGCTTCTTTCAGAAGCTTTGGAGAGAGCAGGATCGCTCATGTGACTGAACAGTCCAGTAACATTTGCAGTTGCTGTTAACCACTAGCTATGATAAAATCTTTGCTTCACAGCTTTAGCCATTGCCTGCAGTGGACAAAAGCTTTCCATCCTCCCTGCCTAGCCTGCAGGCTTGTGTTTGGATTTCTTCTGTGGACATTTGTTGGGTTTGCATCTGTGGAGTTATTAGGTATTAGACAAAGTTCCCCAAGTCATTTTCTTGCTATTGCTGGAGTGTTGTAGGGACTCTGGATGCTGTCGTCCCTGCCTCTGATACCTGTTCAGTCTGTTGAGGAATAAAGTGTTTCCATTTAAGTAGATCTTTGCAATTAATATATAGTATTTGAATGAAATTTAATGGTCACTTGAAGATTGGTCTGTATAAACGTGGTTACTTATCGGACTGAGCACTTAATGTTGGCTTTAGGAGGCTGTTGGTGTTTCTTAGCATGTTGTATTGTAGACAAGCTAGAAACATACAAAGCCAGAATCATTGCTTACACAAAGATACATTTAACTAGTCAACTAAGAAATTCAGTTGCAAGGTAGTTCACTTACAATGACATTCATTAGGACAGTGACATATGAACTTGCATTGTAGCTTTTGGTTGGTATGTCCTCTGCAGTCAAATGGCGCGCGTTACATTAATGTGGAAAGTTTTACCTGACCTTCTATGTATCGTCAATAGAAATCCTTAAAATTGTCCTGTCAACTTTTGAACACTGTAGGCATACTGTCAAAAACATACAGGCATGCTTATGTGCCGCATTTGCATGTTTTTAGTAGTCATTACTGTTCATAAGAGGAAGGTGCATGTGTATGCCAGTCTGCATTTAAATGGGGTTCTTTAGGAATGCTGGAGGCACACACACCTGTGCATTGCACGTGCATTTGTGTTCATACCGTTTAAAGAAATAGGGCTTAACATGGAAGAGTAGTCAAAACACTGAATAATTAGGAGGATGACTTCAACAACTCTCATGTATCTTAAACTTTATGTCTATTTTCATTATTCTTCTTAACTCTCTGGCATGAATAGGGCTGTTGGAAAAGGAGGGGAGTGACACAGAGGTCTGAAAAAAGGATAAGTATTCTGTTTCACATATCACTAGCAGAATCAAAGTTTGAAGTGCAAAGTCTTTACTTGTGGGGGCGTGATGCCTGAGCCAGAAGGAACATAGGATGACATCAGAATCCAAAAAAGGCAATTGTAGTCGACAAGAAAATCTGCTGATGATCAATATGCAAAGCTGTGAACAATAGGTTACCATTCTTAGTGATTCGCTTTTCAGAATGTATCTCGCATTTTGGTTGTACACAAGCTTTATACATCTGTTCTTTTCATAAGCTTGCTTTTTGTTTAGATTGATAGTCTTCCCAGCAGACAGCAATTGTTAATAATATTTATCTGTATAGCAGCACAGAATGGGAATTTCTGTTTCACACCATTGAAAATCTCTCCAAAGCCACAGAGATGGAAGCAACAGGTTATAATAATCGGAGGAGTTGTTTGTAGGTGCTGACAGTTCAGCTGGGAGGTTTTTAGAGGTTCTGTGTTCTCACCAGTGTTTCTTCTTAGAATTTATAAAATTGTTCTTGAAAAGAAATTCCTTCCTGAGAAAGTGAGAGTCCTAGGGAATCCCAGCCATGATAAAAGGGAGAGAAAGGTGATGACCTATAAAGACTGAACAAAAGTAAACTGTGTGAGTTTACAAAAGAATTGGGGACCATATGTCCTCCTCAAGATGAGCAAAACCAGCCTGGTATGTTTTCAGGGAGAAACTATGGATGACATGAAAAACCAAAACCAACTAATCTGAATGTTTTTAGAAGAAATAATAGGAAACTGATGGTGGAGCTTAGAAGGGGTCAAATACTGATTAAATACTAGATTTAAGAGCTATTTTTCAAATCAGAGTTCTGTACTGATGTGAAGAGTGAGGAGTGAATGTCAGGAGGGCTAGGGAGGAGGAGACTGCAGTAAGAAGGTTTGAATGATCAAGTATTTCAGCAACACAGATGGAAAGAAACAGCCAGACTTTTTATGACATTGTAGAGATGAAACTGGCATGTTTGATTGGTAGAATATCTGTGGAAGAAAAGAGAGAATCTGAAGATGACAAAGTTGTGAGCCTCTGCAGCCTTCAAGGTGACTATTAACTCTTGGTAGCTTAGGAGAAAGAACTAGAAAAGTATTTTAGAAACAGAGATGAGTTCAGCTTTTGACATGCTGCATTTAAATTTGAAGGGGAGCCTGCCACAGGAGGCATTAGAAATGTAAACACCATAAGGGAGCAGAAAGCTGGATGGTGAAGGAAATCTGTGGTGTGCCTTTTGTGGATATGGTGGTGGTTGTACTGTGATCCTCCATGCAGGAAACCACCAAAATGAAGAACAAAGAACCAGAGTGCCTGCTAGACTGACAGGAGAGAAAGACCCAAGAGTAAAGAAGAAAGCAACTGGCAGGAGTGGGAAGAGGATATATCTGCCTGGGTCTGGCCAGTGCCATGGATTTTTAAGCTGGTCCAGTCACTACAGCCATGTAAATAATTGATCCTACCGAGAGCTGTAACACCACACTGAGATGTTCATAGTGTTTGTAATTTGTGGGCTTCTTTGTTCAGAGTTATTTCAGCTGTGTCTGTGTAGTTCTGCTGTGTAGATGCATCTGAACAGGGAAACAGACTTGCTGAACCCATGTGAAGATTAGGTTGAGATAAAGAGGAAATAATCATGTGTGGTTAAAGCTCCAGGACCAGAAGGACAATGGAAATATTTCTAAGATCTTGCCAGAAAGCTCAATGCTAATTCAGACACATGCAGTTTCTGGTGAACGACTGGGAGTCAGGTGTAAAGGGCGAAGGAAAGTAGAATTTGAGGCTAAAACAGCTGCTGGGAAAGTCCCCCCTATGGTGGGATGTTTGTGCTGTACTTGCTGGGTCACATATGCACCTATAACAAGTTTTATTTTTATCTTAATAGTGTGTCCATGTAAATTGGCATTTTTCTGCATTATAATCAATAACAAAGCATTTCAAGGTATTAAAACCAAACACAAGTATTTATCTGTAGGAGAAGCAACGTTGAGCTTTAGTCTTTTGCATCTGAGATTTTTGAACATATTGGAATTGCTACTGCATTGGTTTTTGACTTTTTTTTTTTAATTTAACAACAGAAAATAGCAAAGCTGTTAGCAGTTGCTAACAGATTTCACTTAGTGCCTCATCTGTTGCTCAGCTGCTATTTACTTGTAGTTCCTGGTCTCTTTTTTACACCTACCAAAAAAAAAGAAGAGAATGATTGCTTTCCTGCTAAGCTTTTCCTGGATTGAAACTTTATTTATGTGAGTGTGATTCAGGGAGACCATCCAGAAATCATGCTTTTATTTTTGTAATCATTGCTTTAAAAAAAGTCCCGCTGTTTCACCCAGTATTAACTGGAACTCTTGGCTGCAGCATTTTAAGGGCTGTGGCACTTGGAGCAAAGTAGGTTGCTTCTGCTGGAGATTTGAAATGCAAACGATGTTGGTTGTTACTGATCAGTTTTTATAATCCTAAATACTGTTTTACTGTGATGCAGACTGCACAGTGTTTGTTTTCTTGTTTGGTTGGTTCTGATGCATCTGTTGCCTGCCTTGGTACTGGTTATCTATATGTGCTGTCCAAAGAACAGCAGAAGTTCACACTGTTAACTGTTTGTATGTAATACCAGCTAAAGAGCATTATATTTTACTTCTTTATGTTTTCTGGCACATTACACCATCATAGCTCAGTAAATAACCCACTGCTAGATGACAGTGAAGTAAATTGATATTGTATATCAGGAAAACAACTACAATAAATATTTTTATTATTGTGACTACATGTACACTGTAGTCTTAGGAAAAAGCCACTTCTAGACCTCATGTGAGTTTCCCTGCACTCCTTTTTGAAGGTGTTTTGTATTTCTATGAGAAACACTGTAGAAAAGCAGCATATTTGTGCCTTTGAATAAAGGTAGTGCGTAATGTCATTGCTTTAGAACTGTCAAAAGCCTTGTGAGGTGGCTTTGTAGCCTGTTTAGAAGGGTTAATTAACCTGTTGGTGCAGGGTGTTAGAAATCCTTGGTGGCGAGCACTAATGCAAAATGCATTATCACTTAGCACGGAGAACGCAAAGCTGATCTAAGCAAGAGGTTAATTAAAAAAAAAAGAAGTATTCCTCAGTTTGCTTGGTGCTGAACTCCAGATTTTGAATTGGTGATCTGTAGTTACTGCCATGCCTTGAAATACTATCAGAATGTTATTTCTTGCAAAGGTAGACTCTGTTGGTTTCTAAATTAAGTTAGAGAAAAACTGAACCTTTACATCACCAGGGAAGTGTGACCTCTGCTGCGTGGTGCTGATCTGTATCCTAATCCCATAGCAGTTGTTACAGTCCTGGCATATAATAAACATAACTCTATAGAACTCTCACTACCTTTTCCAGACAGTGATTGTTAGAAATTCTGGGCAGCCCTTTCTGCTTTATGGGTATGAAGGTAAGTTAGCTAATGGACTGCAGCCACACCAATGGCATTTTAATAGGTAGCTCCCCCAGGCAGAGACCGGTAGACTGAAGTCATAATTTT